CGCGCCAGGGCCGCGCGGACGCCTCCGCCGGAGTCCTGTTTGGGGGAGCGGAAAAGTAGTTCTGCGGGGCGGAGGGAGGTGGGAACCGGCCGTCTCCGGGAGTCCCACCCACCGACCCAGCGTCGCCCTCAAGGCCCCGGGAACGCCGGAGAGCTGTACTTTGGAGTCTAGCTTGTACTAACTCGGCTTTACCCGGAGACCGCCAAAGAGCACTCCACCAGTGCTGAGGCGTCCGGGATGAGAGGCATCACCCGCCCCCTTGCCCTGGAAACGTTTATTCCTTAATGGAATGTACTTGTTCTTATTTTCTGATAACACGTAACGACTACTTGTAAACTGCTGGCAACGAACTCCGGTCCAGGTGCCAGGACACCATGCCTCTCTTCCGCAGCAAACCCCAGCAAAGAGAGGGTTTGGCCTTGGCCGCTCACCTGGGGCACCTGCTGGCCTCCTCCCAGGACAGGGGCCGCCGCTCACAAATCCTGGCTGCCAGGGCAAAGTTAGAGGACGGTGGAGCGTAGGGCTGGGGGGAACGAGAGTATGGGAATCAGAGCCAGGATTTCTTGGTATAATATTGCTTTTAAGCTGCTTCTGCCTTGGCAAAGTGAAATGTCTGAGTTGCCAAATGGAGAAAGCATGGTGCTTTCCACAGCGACTTCACAAGCTTGCTGTGGAGAGAAATGGGAGCAGCAAATAAAGTGCATTTATCCGGTAGAAAGCACTGCAGTTCTCTCTGAAGAGTTCCCAAATATTTGGGGAGGGGGCTTATTTTTTTTCCTACCGGGTACATGTCGATATCCATCTAGTTTTATGATTGCATAACCCCGTAGTGTAGCAATTGTAAGTACCACATACAATATGGTTCAGTTCCTCGGGCCACTGCCCTAAGTGGCTGTCCCTTTACCTGCTTTCAGAGTCAATGAGTTCAAACCTGCATTGGTGGGTGAGCGTCTTCGGCCTTTCTGTGGAAGTCAGGTAATAAAGCAAATTTAAGAAAGAGTGGATGTGGAGAGGGGAAACACGGACCTCTTCATGATGCTGGTTCTAAAAGTCAACCTGCAACAGTTCGTGAAAAGATCATTATCCCTGAATAGATGCATGAGCTAAGGCTGACGTTAGAACGGGGTAAAAAAAGGAAAAGATAAACAGAGGCCAAAGATGACTCTTTATTGCTTGATTTTTTATTTTTTTTTTATTTTTTCAGGGCACAGCCAGCTAATTTTGTAATGTTTATTTTGGGAAAGAATAGCACCCGATAAAAGTTCCAAGCCACTTTCCTAATGATCAGACCAGGACACATTGCCACCTGCTGGTGTACCCCAGGATAATTCTACCCCGAGAACTCTTTTAATTGCGTGTTTTTGGCATATAAACTGGAAAGAGCTCTAGCCATCTGTATAAAATGACCAAAATGCAAACCTTATCTCCAAACCTGTATCTTTCTTAAACATAGTAAAATATCATTTTGCCATACCCTAATAAATAGGTACGAAATTAATTGGACCCAATGACTCATCAAATCATGCATTTAAAAAATGAGTTCTCCTCTTTCCTTCAAGAATGCCTCACTACTTGAGCTTCAGGAATAAAACAAACTGGAAAGCTTCCTAATTCACCTTCCCTTCCTTGCATACAAAACCTCTTGGCAGGCTGCTTTCAAGATCTTTCCAAACTTAAACAGACCCAAAGTTCTAGCTGTGAGCAAAGAAGGCATTTGCTGTGGGAAAGCTTCAGAAGATGGTAAGCAAAGGATTTAATTAAGCCAGTGGTTATTCATTCCAGAGCTATTTTTTTCAATGATGAAAATCTCTATGTTCACCCACAAAGCTCTAATGGTAAAAACATCCCTGAAAGCCTCTTTAGAACTGTTGGTAGCTCTAGACTGTTCTAAAGGCTCTAACTATAGAATGCCTTCAGAAGAGTCCCACCAATCTAGGTGGAACACACTCCCCATGGTCATTAGTCCCTTACCTAAAAAAATGACACCAGTGACACAATCCACCATGCATGCTCTTTGAGGTTTCCCTGGGGAGGGGGTAGGGGAGGGAGACTGGCTATCCTAAACCACATCCTTACCCATTCTTCTTTCAATGTTTATTGAGCACCTACTATGTGTCTAGCACTGCTCTAGGCATTGGAGGTACAGTTCTGAAGAGAGCCGAGGGTCCTTATCTTCATGGAGCCCACTCAACATCATTTTCAAGGCAACTGCCCAAACAAATGGCAAAAATAAAGAAAGGAAGTTTTTCCTCAGTCTTTAGCAAACTGTTTTCTGTATTCTGTATGTAGATTGTTGCCCCGAAAAGTAAACAGCATTAGGAATGGTTGATGGTTAAGAGCAGATAAGTGGTATTTCACAGATAATCATAAATATGGGTCAACATTTCTACACGCCATTTTTTTTTTTTTTTTTTTTTTACACTTCTTGGCAAAATCACACCAAAGATACAAAGGCAGACTCTGGGTTGATAAAAATTTGTTTATTTTTATAAAATTCAGTACAAATCTTATTGAAATATAAATCTTTCTTGAGCAGTGTTAGGAATTATTACATAGTAATCCAAATGCAAATGAATAAAACACTTCATTTTGTCCGACCATACCACATGTTAATTAGCCCTTCGTTTACCCGTGATGTCAAAACTCAGCATCTTAACTGCTGAGTCACCTTCATTTCCCATTTTTCTCTCAGGGAGGTTCCTTCAGAGTTACTAGTTAAAGCATCAAGAAAAGCTGAAGTGAGCTATTTTTCTTCTCTTATTATTTAGGTTATTCAAAACGCAAAAGAAACCTACGTACATTCCCAGGAGTACCCCTAAAACACCAAGGTCTGCAATCCCTTCACGTCTGAGGAGTAAAAAGAAAAAAAAATTGGTACCAGATTAAGTCTATTCATTTGTCTGGTATGGAACAGGTGGCACTGTGCCAAAATTCAAGAGCCAGCTTTTTCTTTTTTTAAGCTCCTGCGCCAAGCCACTCTTTTTCACTAGGCTTTTGCTAGAATCAGCATTCCCCGGCATCCAACTTTGACCACAGTTTTGTTGGAAAGAAGCTCACCAGCATTCTGGGGATACTGATCACAGGGAAAAAAATAGACGGGATGCTACTGTCAGATTGTTTCCATCTGCAGCAAAACTCATTAACCAAATGACAGTCATTTTAAAAGACCACTGTCAACATGCCTTGAAAGTTGCTTTTCCCAGAGTAATGATGACGTCATGCCATTCCAACGCTCCATCATGCCTGGGCACTGACATCCATTTTCAAGACCACTCGTTAGGTTCGTATTACCGGTGACCATAGAATGGGCGGAGACTTCCTACTGACCTAGGCTTAGACTTCGGTAGCCCCACACGTTTACTCACCAATTAAGCAAATCAATCCCCAGGGGTCTAAATGACATAATCCAATAAATAAATAACAAGCAAATAAATAAATAAATAAACACACAAATAAATAAATCGTCCCTTTCCCCATAAAAGTCCTACGTTCATTCACAACAGGGTTTAAACTGAGATAGAGAACGCAAGTGACCTGCCCAAGTGATCTGGCAAGTGAGGAGCAAAATTAGTTAAAAGAACCCAGAAAGTCTTGATTCCTAATCTCTCATGTTAAGCTTACGTTCTTGCTTTTCCTGGGTGGGATGATAGACTATCGCACTGAGAAATTTTTGTTTGTTTCCTTCTAGGACTGGCCTTGCCATCTGATTTTATCCATAGAGAGTGGCACCTTGTTCAGAGAAAAGAAAACGTAGGAAGTGGGCTACAGGGAATGTGTTTGGGAAAAAATAAAATAAAATTCGCCTCATCCCCCTGAGGCCGGTACACTTTACTCTTTGGTTCTGGTTTGCAGGATGTATAGCAGGGCTGAAACCTGAACTGCCATCTCAAGCACAGTGGAATCCACATGCTAAATCCCTATGGAATTCAGTCACAGCCTCTCATGCCTAGGAGATTAATGCACAAAAGCCCTGAGAATTGGCATCATTTTCTCGGTAGGGCAGAACCCGTACAACAGGACTCGGTAAATCTGCCCACACCTCATTCATCTCTCATCCGAAGCCCTAACTCCCTGGTTTTTGTACAGAAAAGAGTTACCAGAGCAGGCCTGAACTCCTGTCCTTGGAAAGGCCTCCGTGCAAGGTTGGCCCTTGGCTGGCATCTGGAAACTTAGATTTCAGGAGGGCTCCCTTCATTAACTGATGAGAATGGCTCACCGTGCCTACACTGTGCAAACAATATGGTTTAGGCCGAACACCTGCTCTCCTTCTGGGAGTCAGGAATTCTGCTACGTGCCAGGCGGTGGCTGCCTGCATGACCCCCAGTAAAAAACTGGGGCACTGAGCATCTAATGAGCTTCCTCGCTGGACATTTTACACGTATCGCCACAAATTGTTGCTAGAGGAAATCAGTGCATCTCCCACTGCGAGAGGACTCTGGAAGCTCGGGCCCGGTTTCCCCTGGACTCTGCCCAAACACCTTTTCCCTTCACTGCTCTTCCCTTGGATCCTTTCACTGTAATTGATCACAGCTAGGAGTTGCACTACATTCTGAGTCATGTGAGTCCCCTCAGCAAAGCACCGAACCTGGGGGTGTCTTGGGGCCCCTCGACAGTTGGTTTGGGGTCACTTCTCTCATCCTTTCCCTTTGTTTAAGCACAGCCCCTTCCCTGATCCAAGGCTCAGAATGCCAGACATGCATCTTCCTAGAAGTCCCTCACTTTAGAGTAAATGGGGCGACTTTATTTAAATTGCTACACGGAAAGCAGGAACAAGGGTTTGTTCAAGGAGTCAATTCTCGAAGAAATTCTCAAATTCCTTCCTGAGCGGTCTAACCATCAAGCATCCCAGAGACAAGAGGACCCGGGGACACCACGAACAAAAAGGAAGGCAGCTGTGCCCACCCCCACCTCACAGCTCTGACTCATTCACAACTACCCCTGAGTAGTCTCACTTTCTACACCTGCGCCACGGTAGACGTGAGTGTTTTAATACTGGTATGGGCTCCACTCAAAGACTGACCACACTGCCTGATACGTTTAGCCCTTTCTTGAAACCTAAGTGTGTTATGAGCCTGATTCTAGAACAGCCGTTATCTCCAACCTGGGTCCTGTGGCTGACTAACCCGATCCGGCATCTGGAGGAAGCCTTGGCTAGCGCGTTTTCAGATGTCCGTTACGTTTCAGCTGCCGCTCCTCCCTCCGCCTGCTTCTCCAGGCGTGGTATTTTTTGATGCTTTTCCTCCACGCAAAGCGCCAGATGCTAAACATGAAACACCAAGAGACAGCATACATCGCCACTCCCCCAACCTTCACAAACCCCTTGGGCTTGGGGGAGACCATTTCACAGAAAAGGAGGCGAGCTCCGACGCCAATCCTCACTCCGGTAAACAGAGCCACAAAGAGGAAGTCCACCACATCTCCAGTGAAACTGTGGTAGTGCCCTGTTTCTCGGAGAAACCAGCGCATCTGTAGCAAGGGGTTGGTAATCTCACTTCCAAAGAGGACCGCGTTGACCTCTGTGCCTGATTCTCCGAGCACCAGGGCCATGATGATGCCCAAAATACTCAGGGTGTGGTGAGCCAGCATCAGGGCCCCCTCAGACTGGAAATAGACGCACCAGCCCAAGTCGAAGATGAAGTAGCCCAAGGTGAGACACAGTACGTGCACTTGGAGAGGTGTATTGGGTGAGCCTGCAATAAACCGAGACAGAAGCAAACTGAGTGACCGGGAATCGTATAATAACAGTGACCTTGCACGAGGGTCCTATGTTGTTGTCTCCCACAACAGGGCCACGATGATCAGTTGCGTCACTGAAAGCAAAAACAAAGGCAGGCACATGCATTGTAATGACGACCAAGACTAAAATCTAAAACCTTGGTCTTTATCAAACCACATAATGTGACAGGCCCAGGAAATGCTGGATTTGATGAATCAGCTCTCAATGAGTGATCTGAGCAACAGCCATTATCTCCGTGTCCACTCAGTTATTTTGTTCCTTCAACTAAAATCTTACAGTTTCTTGCTTTCTTCTTCTTTTTATTTTACGTGTTTGTTTAACCAGCTTTAAAGGTCTGTTTCCAGACTGTTTCAGTTATTCTGCCCTGGATGTCGGATTAATTTCTTAGCTTAATGGGTTAGATTGTTGGACACTGGTGGCCCTGACCCTTCTTGAAAGCGGGCCTTGGAAAGAACCCCAGAAGTTAGTGTGTTCCCAGCTTAAGAAAATCAAGTACAAGGACAGGACACGTTGAAATCTATTTGAAACCTGCATACGAGACACAAAGCTTAAGAGCTGCTTTCGTATCAGTTTGACAGTTTTTTGGGGAAAAACTCAGAAGCTCACTATAGAAATTTAAGGCAAATAAAACAAAAAAGGATCTAAGGAATTGAAAAAAAATCACATCCTAGGGGATTTCTGGATTGAACTGTCCCTTGCAAACTCACGTGTTGAAACCCTAACCCCCAATTCCCTCAGAATGTGACTGTACTCGGAGATTGGGCCTTTAAAGAGGTAATTCAGTTAAAATGAGGTTGTTAAGGTGGGCTCTAGTCCAATATGGCTGGTGTTCTAAAATAAGGAAATGAGGACACACACACACACACACACACACACACACACACACACACACACCAACGGAAGACCACGTGAGGACACGGCAAGAAGGAAGCCACCTGCAAGCAAGAGTGAAGCCTTAGAAGAAACCAAACCAGCCAACAATTTGATCTTGGACTTCTAGCCTGCAAAACCGGAAGTAAATAAGTTTCTATTGTCTATGCTCCCCAGTCTGGCATTTTGTTATGGCAGCCCCAGCAAACTAATTCAAGGGGACACAACTTTTTTATTCTAAGGAAGTAATACTCAGACATTTAGCAGCTTAAAAATCAATATAGGTGCCCCAAATAATGAGACATGAGTTAAATAAATGACGATGTATGCATACGACACAATATTATATCACAATTAAGACGGGCAAAAAAAATCTATATAGATGTCCTTCGAAAATACAATCAAGTGAAAACTGCAGGCTATCAAAAAGTATGTGTAATACAGTCCATTTGTGTCTGTTTGGGAGTGGTGGTGGAAGATACTGATATTAGCTTTATGTTTTTGTACATTTCAGTGGCTTACAACGTAACAGGCATTTAAAATTTGTTTCAAAAGCAGAGAGTTATGAAGAGCAGAAATAGGGACACGTACAATATCAGAGTTAAAAATGAAGACTCCCGGTACAAATTATAACGGTAATTCCTCTTCAATATCGTACACATTCTGTGAAAATGTCCCATCCTTCCAAGACTACCCCCAAATTATACAATCCGTTAGGGAAAGCCCTCTAATGTCTCCACCTACCTGGGTGGGTAAAAGGCCAGGGGCCATCAACGAAGCCAATATAAGCTGAGAGGCCTATGGAGAGGACTCCGTGGGTGAAAGTAACCAACCGGCAGTTCCACTCATAGCTTCGGTGCTTATTCAGGTGGCAGAAAGAAATGTAGAGCGAGAGCCAGCCCCCCAGGCTGCACAGCACCTGCGGACACAGACCTAGTGCCATCCTATGATGAAAAGACCGAAACCAGAAAAACAAGATATACCCTAAGAAAACAGCAGTGGGTCAATGCGAATATAATCTTCATTTCTTCTATAGGAGAGTACAAAAACATTGCCTTCACTGAAACGCTTCCTTATCTACACAGCTGAGAATCTTCTTCTTTTTTAAAAAATATTTATTCATTTTTGAAAGAGAGACACAGGGCGTGAGCAGGGGAGGGGCAGAGAGAGCGGGACACAGAATCCAAAGCAGGCTCCAGGCTCTGAGCTGTCAGCACAGAGCCCGACAGGGGGCTCGAACTCACAGACTGTGAGATCATGACCTGAGCCGAAGTCGGATGCCCAACCAACTGAGCCACCCGAGCACCCCAACATTGAAAACATTTTTTTAAAATAAGGATGAGTACATGTCAATAATCTGTCAGTGATGACTGACCTTGAACAATGATACATGAGGAACATAGTACACGTCTTCGATAATGTGTTCACTCCAATGAGAAGCTCTGGTGAAAAAAACAGGACTACTGCCTGTGGTTTCTGCTAGAGGTCATATGACATGGAGGAGTTTAATGTGGTTTGAAGCTGATATTAAACTCAACTGAAATTGGGACTTAAGTCACAGTTTTACCAGTTAAAATGGAAACTTGAGGTAACCCTAAACACAGAACTAATCAGACTCCAGATATTTTAGAAGAGAAAATAATCCGAGTTCGATTCAGTTCCGAAACCCAATTCAAAGACTAACCAAGAGGGAAGCAGAGGGATGTGGAGGTGCATGTGGGAAGTTTTTGTTGATATAGAAAAATATCTTTGGGGCGCCTGGGTGGCTCAGTTGGTTAAGCGGCCGACTTCGGCTCAGGTCATGATCTCACAGTCTGTGAGTTCGAGCCCTGCGTCGGGCTCTGTGCTGACAGCTCAGAGCCTGGAGCCTGTTTCAGATTCTGTGTCTCCCTCTCTCTGACCCTCCCCCGTTCATGCTCTGTCTCTCTCTGTCTCAAAAATAAATAAACGTTAAAAAAAAGATTAAAAAAAAAAAGAAAAAGAAAAATATCTTTAAGGCAATTATTTAGTTAAACATACAGTCAGAAAGCTACATTTTGAAATTTTTACTGATGACAAATATATCAGGCCAAGAATGACTGTAACTGAGTCAATCTAAGTCATACAGGACTAAAATCTTCAAGTAACCAAGATGGTATTAATATTCGTTAGCTCCTCTATTGAAATTTCGTACAAAAAAAAAAAATTTCAGGTATCTGTCTCATCTCTGCAGGAATTTTCTGCATGGCTACACTTATTGCTTAACCCTATTCTGACAAGTGAAATAATATCTGAGGACCAACACACTTCAGTACACAAGCCGCTCCCAGGAATGCTATCCAGAGAGGGCTTTATGAAGGTCAAGTTCTGCGCTGCCTTCAGCTGAAAGCAGCTTTCTATTCAACAGTAGGTGTCAATCACAGACCTGAGTTCCAATTCTGTCTGTGCCCCCTAACTAGCCATAAAACACTGGGCAAATCACTGTCACCTCTTGAGCCTCCCTTACAAAAAAAAGGGGGGGGGAGGTGGGGGTAGAAAAAAGAAAGAGAGAAGAAAAGAGGATTGTAAACTCTAATCCGGCCCAGTTCTGACAAGGAGTTCTGAGATAAATTTTGTAAAGCATCTAGGCCAGTTTTCGGAGCAAGGCCCAGAAATACAAAGTACCCAGAGTGAAAAGAACCGTCCTCGCTTATTTCCTTCTAAATGCCAGGGTCACCGGCCAGTAATGCGGATCAGCTCATTTGGATCTGCTGATTAGTATTTTTAGAGTCCTCTTCCCTGAATCCTAATTCCCTGGCAGAACAGAGGAAACAGTAGTCTATTTACAAACACTTAAAAGAATAGACATTTGTAAATGGCAGATACAAGTCTGTGACCTTGGGAAAGTCAGTCCATCTCTGGATTTCGGTTTTTTACTCTTGGGTAAAGGAACGGAGGGGTATTGAGATGGCCGATCGGGCACAGAATTCCAAGGCCCCTGTCCTCGCTCCTCCCGTTCCCGGGCCAGATTCGGGAGGAGGAGCGCGGGGCGGACCCACCTGGCGGGCGGCCGCGGAGCAGGCGTGGCTGGGGCGAGCAGCAACCCCGGCGCCCCGCAGGCACCGCGACCGGCGCATCTCCCTCGGACGCGCCCGCGGACCGGGCCACGCCCGGCTGCGCGCACCTACGCCGCGCCGCTGTACGGGCATCCCGCCGGTCGCCGAGCCTGGCGAAGCAAAGCCTCCCGCGCCCCGAGGCAGGAGGAGCCCCCCACCCCCACCCCTCGGCCGCCAGGCCAGACCAGACCATCTGCCCGCCTCCTTCCCCACCAGTGGGCCGGGCGGGCCGGGCCCCCAGCGTCCCGAGCCCAGCCCCGCGGCAGGAGCCGGGCGGTTCGCGCCGCGCTGTTACCTGGCCGAGCGCATCGGGAAGCCTCGGGCGCCTCGGCCCCAGAGCTCGGAGCGCGGATCATCGGAGCAGGAAGCGGCGGAAAGAGGGAGAGAGGACGAGGATCTGGCGGCGGCGGAAGAGGAGCCGGGGGTCTGGGGGCACCTTGTGGCTGGGAGGACGGAGCGCAGAACCCGAGCTGGACGGGGAACGTCCGTGAAGGGAGCCGAAGGGTACTCCTCCTTCGCTCGGGTCCTTCGCTCGGGGCCCAGGATGGGGGGGATGGATAGCGGAGGGTTACCTGGTGGTCACGTGAGACCTACAGGTTGTTGCCCTTGTTTGTGTGTTGTTGTTTGTTTCAATAATTACCCATCCCGCCTCCCCCCCCACCCCATGTGGGGACAGCCCATCCAATAACCAGTGGCTGAGCACCTACTGAGGGCTCACACCCCTACTAGGCACGATGGGAGATGTAAGACGTAGTCGCAGCCCTCCCGCTGGAGTCTCAGTTGTGAAACAAGCACGCAATTAATTAGCCAGGAAAGTGCTCAGGCCCGGGAATTAGAAGTTATTCCTTTTCGTTACAGCCCTATCACCCTACTTGGCAGTAGAGTATAAGGCTTAAAAATAAACGTGGTTTGGGGCACCTGGGTGGTTCAGATGGTTGGGCCTCCCACTTGGGCTCGGGTCATGATCTTGCAGTTCGTGAGTTCGAGCCCCACATTGGACTGGCTGCGGTCAGTGCAGAGCCTGCTTTGGATCCTCTACCCCCCTCTCTCCTCCCCGCTTGTGCATACGTCTCTCTCCAAAAAATAAACGTTTAAACAATTTTAAACAAACCCAGCCTGGCTACCGACTCTGTGTCGTTGGGCAAATTAACTTTTCTGTGCCCCCATTTTCTCAAGCATAGAACGGGGATAGTAATTGCTATCTTATAAAGCCATTGTAAGACTCTTACACACTTCACCTGTGAAAAGTGCTTAGCACAATGACAGGCACAAGGAAGCCACTATGTAAATGTTAACGGTTGTTGTGACACTTTGGGTAAATCCTTTTCTCCGCTCTGAGATCTATTTTAATACCAAGGGAAGTGAAATTGGAAGAGATGACCAAACTAGCATGGGGGCACAAATGCGGTAAAGAGGGCATCTGGTTTGCTTTATCAGGACGGGCGACAATGGGATGCTGAGGGGCCCAGACGGTCTTCAAAAGAGAAGACCGTAAGTAGAAGGGTGAACATTTACACCACGGCTGGGGAGTAGTTAATAATCTAGTTTTGGTGTTTATCTTGCCAATCTCTCATGAGTAAGGATCAAACTGTTTTCATCTTTGTTTTCTAATACCTGGTAGGAGGCAGGTGCACTAGATGTTTGCTGGTTGAATGAATGGGAAATGAGCCTGGAAAAGTGTATTAGAAGCATATGGTGTCTCCTAAACCTTGTTGATCTTCTGTAACGCTTGGGAAGTGTTTCCAAAATACTCTTGTAGGGTGTACCTTGAAGAGTACGATTCAGTAGCCTTCGTGTGGGGTCTAGGAATATACATCTTTTAAAACCTGCCCCTGGATCATTCAGATATTAGTCACACTTAAGAACCACTGCTGTCGGAGGGTCTTCAATGACTCTGATGCCAGCCTGAGATGCCAGGCTGAGGCATCTTATTATGTGGGTAACAAGAAGTCTATGATGTTATTAGGCAAGGGAATCATTTTATCAAGCCCTTGCTACTCAAAGTGTGGCCCACAGCCCAGCAAAATCTGCATCTCCTGAGTTTGTTAGAAACAGAGTCTCAGACCCTGACCCCAGACCTACTGAAGCAGAACTGCATGCTAACAAGGTTCCCAGTGATTTGTACGCACTCTTGGATATTGGTTCTCATCCTTGATGGCACAATAACATCATTTGAGGAGCTTTTAAAAATCTCAGGGCCCAGGCTATGCCCCAAAGTAAATCAGAATCTGTGCGGGGATCCATCTTTTTTAAAGCTCTCCTGGTGATTCCATTGTGTAACCAAAGTTGAGAATCACTGCTATACATTCAACCAAAATCGCTGTAAGATGAACTGGAGAAGACAGTCTGCTTCAAGTAGGTTGGAACAGACCAGATAAGAAGTAATGGGAGCCTGATGAAAGAGAACAGGGAGGGATCCATTTCACTAAATGGAGAGTATGCATGGGGCGCCTGGGTGGCGCAGTCGGTTAAGCGTCCGACTTCAGCCAGGTCACAATCTCGCGGTCCGGGAGTTCGAGCCCCGCGTCGGGCTCTGGGCTGATGGCTCGGAGCCTGGAGCCTGTTTCCGATTCTGTGTCTCCCTCTCTCTCTGCCCCTCCCCCGTTCATGCTCTGTCTCTCTCTGTCCCAAAAATAAATAAACGTTGAAAAAAAAATTAAAAAAAAATAAGTGGAGAGTATGCAGATCTCAACTTTTCCCCATTTGCTTGCGATTATCGAAACGTTTTCTCCTTCTTCCTCTTCTCTCACTCCTCCTCCTCCTCCTTTCTTCTTTCTTCTTCTAAGTTTTACTTATTTAAGGAATCTCTACACCCAATGTGGGATTCACACTCACAACCCTGAGAACTTCCAGGGCACCTTAGTGGCTCGGTCAGGTAAGCATCTAACTCTTGATTTCAGCTCAGGTCACGAACTCACTGTTCATGAGATCGAGCCCCTCGTCAGGTTCTGCACTCTCTACCTCTCTTTCTGCCCTTCCCCTCCCCGCCTTCTCTCTCAAAATAAACATTAAAAAAAAAAAAAAGAGTTATATACTCTTCCGACTGAGACATCCAGCTGCCCCTCTTCTAGTATCTGAATTTGGAACTACCTTCTTGCTGCCACCATTTTCCGGGAAAGAACAGAGTATTAAAAGGCTTCAGGGGTCTGAAGGCTGAGGCGATAAGGAAAGGTGCCAGTTCTTTCTAGGAGCCTTTATCCTAGGGTGACTGATGGTCCAGGTTCAAGCTTCATTACCTAGGATTACATTTACTAATTTAGATATCTTTGGCCATAACACTTGTTCTACCAGATCAGATAATCGTCAACGGTGGTATCTCCCCCCAGCCCACCCGCCCCCCCACAAAAGTTCTGGGCTATAAGGGAGAACAGGAACAGGAAGCTCTCCACCAATGTATTTGAATAATAATGACAATAATTATGTTTATAATCACAATAATAGCAGACAACACTTATTAACGTACCAGGCATTTTTCCAAGCGCTTTACAAATATTAACTAGTCAATTCTCACAGCCCTTTTTGAGATGGCTGCTATTGTCATCCCCATTTAATAGGGGAGAAACTAAAACACAGAGCAATTCAAGGAACTTGCTCAAGGTGACATGATTAGTGGGAGGTAGATTTGAGTATGAACCCAGGCAGTATGGCTCTGCACTTGACTAGAAGCCCCTGCAGACCTGTACTGTATTATTCGGCATTCACAGCTCACAGCTCCTAACCTCAATGAAGGGCACTAGAAGTTATTTAGAGGTAAAAAAAAAAAAAAAAAAGGAATTTCATTTTCAAAAATCTTAATTTCCCATTAGGTACCAGGCACAGTGTTAGTCATGGGCATATAGAGAAAAAGAGACAGACTCAACTCCAGGGTTGACCCACAGGTAGACCCACAGTCTAGAAGCAGAAGAGTCAGCAAATGCAGTACGTGAGATATGAGAGGCACACGGAGAGTGTGTGGGAAGGAGAGGCACGGAGCCACGAAACCTGGGGGGGGGGCCTCAGGGCAGGATTCCTCATCTGAGTCCTGAAACTAAACTCATTCTCTGAGTTGCACCAAAAGGCCTTAGTATTCCAGCCCACAGTGGGGCCCACCAGTCTTGAGTCAACAAAAAATTGAAGTGTGAAAATTTGAAAAGGAGCAGGAGCAATTCTTCTCTTTCTTTCCCCCTGGACAACGACTGGGTTTTGCCCTTCGATTCTCTTGTGCCTAATTAGCCGCTGAAGAAGCTAACCAAGCTTTGGTTGAACTTCACTGGGATTTTAGGGAATCACGTGGCTGTGAGAGGCAAATCAGTGCCTGCTTCCAGGGTTGGCTCTGCTGAACAATTGTCCAAGACAATGGACAATGGAAGCTACTGGAGGCTGAGAAGTTAGGCTACAATTCTGTATTTCTTTCATAAAAAAGTATGGTCAAATAGAGAGCCCAGAAAGAAACCCCCATAAATGGAGTCAACTGATCTTTGACAAAGGAGCCAAGGCAATACAGTGGAGAAAAATTGGTGCCTTTAACACACAGTACTGGAACTATTGAACATCCACATGCAAAAAAAAAAAAAAAAAGGCAACTGGACACCGACCTCACACCCTTCACAAAAATGAACTCAACATGGACCACAGACACACATGTAAAATGCAAAACTATAAAATTTCAGGAAGGTGACACTTAGATGAAGAAAACCTAAATGCCCCTGGGTATGGTGCTGCCTTTTTAGATACAACAACAAAGACACAACCCAGGACAGAAATAATGGGTAAGCTGGACTTCATTAAAATTGAAATCTTCTGCTCTGCAAAAGACAAATACCAAGAGAATTAGAAGACAAGCCACAAACTGGGAGAAAATACTTGCAAAAGACACAGCTGATAAATGGCTGTTATCCAAAATATACAAAGAGCTCCTAAAATTCAACAATAAGAAAACAAATAACCTGATGAAAAAGTCGGCCAAAGGCCTCGCTAGACCCCTCACCAAAGAAGACATACACATGGCAGTTAAGTGCATGAAAAGCTGCTCCACACCCTATGTCCTCAGGAAAATGCAGATTAAGATAACTGAGATACTATTACACGCCTATTTGAATGACCAAGATCCAGAATGCTTGACAAAACCTTGCTGGCAAGGATGTGGAGCCACAGGAACTCTCGCACATTGTTTGGTGGGAATGCAAAATGGTACAGCCACGTTCTGTTGGGAGGCAGGGTGGAGGTTTCTTACAAGACTAAATGTACTTTTACCGTATGACCCAGCAATCATGTTCCCTGGCGTTTACCCAAAGGAATTGAAA